CAGACCTCATTCAAAGTCAACTTTGGTTTCGGTAGTGAGTGGGGGGGGTTACTGAAGAATAGCTAACCCCAGGGCTGCAAAGGGCAATCTTTAGCAAAGAAAACTAGCATTTGGGTTGTTGACAGAGCTGCCCATCATAAAACACAGAGGGGCCCAGTTAAAAATTAATCCTTTTTTTTTATTTGTTAGCCAAGCTGATAGCTCTCTGTTTCCATTCCTTAAGTTTATAATTTTATATTTCTATACTCCTGGACCCTTAACTAGCTACAGAATGGGAGAAAACATCTGCAAGTCAATAAGTCATGTAACTAGACATTCAAAAGGCAAACCAACAAAGTTTGAAATGAGGAACAAATTTAATAACCATTTTCCTAAAGATATAATAATGTCAACAAACACAGAAGAAGAGAGTACTGTGGTTTAGATATGAAGTGTCTTCCAAAAAGGCTTGTGTTCTGAAGGCTTGATCCCATCTGGTTGGTTCTGGAAGCTCTGGGAAGTAGGTCACTAGGGACATGTCCCTGGGGACATATGATGTCCAAGGCCCCTCTGTTCCCTTCCCTATTTCCTATCTGCTATGAAGTGAGTAGCCTCCTTAAGATCCTGCAGTACAATGTACAGCCTTACTAAGGCAGGTCAGAACCAACAGGCCAGAAACTCTGAACCTGTGGGCCAAAACGGGTCCTTCTTCATGTCAGGATCAAAATGTCTACACAGATGCTCAACACCATTAATCTTAATGAAATGTAAATCAAAACCAGAATGAGATACAATTCATTAGAATGGCCAAACATAAATTATAAGGGAGAAATAACACTTAGTTCTAAGTTATTGAGCATTTATGATGACAACACACATGGACTGCTTAGCAAATATGGATCAGATACTATGAAACAGGTCTCAGGAAATCCAAGTGATTAATCTAAAACGGGTCTTCTGACAACTAGGCTACAAGTCAGTAACAAAAAAAGGTAATTTTAAAATATCAAATGTTTGGAAAGTAAACCACATTGGAATTTATTAAAAAAAAAGATCTTGAACTTTCTGGAAAACAGAAAAAATACATAAAAATAAATAAACAATAAGTTGGGAGCACTCAGCCTTAATGGCACAACTCTGAATTATATAAATGCGGGTAATCCATCTACAGGTGAGGCAGATCTCTCCTTCTTCCTCCTCCTCCTCCCTTTTCCTTCTTCTCTCCCCCTCCCTCCCTCCTTCTCTCAAGACAGGGTCTCACTATGTAGCTCTGGCTGGCCCAGAACTTGCTCTGTAGACCAGGCAGTCCTAGAAACCACACAGATTGCCTGTCTCTGCCTCTCAAGTGCTGGGAATAAGGGTTGTACACCACCACCCCTAGCGAGGCTCAGTTCTTTGTCTATATACCCTAGGCTTATTCCAGGAGTGTGGTTTTTGTTGGTCAACATTCCTTTTTTTGGTTTTAGTTTTTGTGTGCTTTTGAGATAAGGTTTCTGGTAGCCTGGACGGAGCTTGAACTCACCCTATAGCTAGAAGTGGCCTTGAACGGATCCTACTGTCTCTACCATAAAAACGCAGGGATGACAGACCGAAGGATCACGCCCTGCTGCCGGTCACTTCAGACACTTCAATTTTCCCACTATTTTCTCTAGGAAACTCAGACTACAGTTTGCATCCTACACACTGTCCTGAAGAGCGACAACAGAGTATCTGGGTTTCGTTTTGTACCCCCAGCACCTAGCACAATACATAGCACCTGTCACTGTTTTTATCAAGCAGATCAAGAATTCTAGATTCCAATACAGAAAGAAATCTTCAAGCTCCCATGGCTCCTGGGTGGACTCACCTTCCAAATTACTTAATCTCTAGAACTTCAGTTCCTTCCCCTCAATTGCAAAAAAATAAAGAATGACCCTTAAAGTTCATAATATGCTGGGCATGATAGTGCATGCCAAGACAGGAAAACGTGGAATTCTAGGTCAGCCAAGGTTACACAGCAAGACACTGTTGAAAAATAATAATCCTGCCAGGTGGTGGTGGTACATGCGTTTAATCCCAGCATTCAGGAGGCAGAGCCAGGTGGATCTCTGTGAGTTCGAGGCCCGCTACCAAGTGAGTTCCAGGAAAGGCGCAAAGCTATACCGGGAAACCCTATCTCGGAAAATAATAATAATAATAATAATAATAATAATAATAATAATAATAATAAATAAATAAATATTTGTCTTACATACTTCTGAAAGCATCTCAAGGAGCCCTCAAGGGTCTAAGCACCACAATTTGAGAACCACTGTGGTGAGCCTAACTGGTAAGTTGTCTCTCTGAAGAAGCCCCAACACTTTGGGTACACAGTAAAAGAAGATGGTCTCTCGAAGGAGGGAATCAAAAAGGCCAAAAGCAAAGAACAAAAGTAAAAACAAAAAACAAACAAAAAAGCAAAAAAACAAAATTGGCACCATCAAGGAGAGCAGCAAAGGTTAGTGCCAGAGTCAAGAGAGCTGAAGACTGAGCCCCAGAGGTTTGGGGAGTGTGTGGTTTGACCTACTCTGAAGTTTAGCCAGGTTGTGGCCCTAGATTACATTTGAAAAGAACATCCAGTGAAATGTTATAGACTGGAAGTGACGGTCAGCAGAGTCCAGTTTTAAAGCCCCACCTTTGGACCTGTGGATACCTTGGAAAGGTGTGGTGGACTGCGAAGCCAGGTGTGAGGAAGCGGCTACCAAGTTAGCTATGGAGCTGGAGAGGTGGCCCAGTGTGGAAAAGAGAACTTGCTAACAGACATACACAAAGAGAAAAATGTAATTAAAATTTTTTAAAGACTTAGTTATGGAATGTCTTGGAAAACAAGAGAAACAGAATTATTCTTAAATTTGGTCCTTTGTGGACAGTGGTACCATCTGGTAAAATGTAGAGTGCTGGGAGAGAAGTGAACTCTCAGCCTCTTCTCAATGGAAACGTTACATTCTTTCTCTCTAAGCCTGCTTCCACACTACACCTTACATTATTATTAGCATAAAACATGTAATCAAAAACAAACACCATAAACACAGGAGCGCACGCGCGCGCGCGCGCGCACAACACCTATGAAAATATGGCCAAGGCCAAAGCAGTCGGGCATCAGCCATTGATGAATATCCTGAGCAATCACTCAATTATTCTCAACCACAGGTCTTCACACCTGACATTACTATACAGCCACCACTGCTCCCAGCAGTCCACGAAAACAGTGAGTGTGAAATCGCTGGCTGTAGTTCATCAACAGTGTTCATACTGACCTAATTGACACGCCTGTTGACTTTGTCAAGAGCAACAGCAGTACTAAGAAGAAACTTCTAGTCGGGTGTCCTGTTCCCAAGCTCGAACTGAGGCCAACTGCTCACCCCTTTCTCCCAAAGGACCAACTTAGCACAGTCCTTTGTAGGTGCAGAGCCGATCTGAGCGTGGGCGTCTGCACCTGGGCTCCTTGATGACAGCTCTGGAAACTCAGTGCACTCATCCCCAAGGACAGTCAAACCCTGAGTCACCGGGCAGCAAGCGGCTATGTAAACATAATAGAAGTTGGGGCGATTCACCTTCCATTGCGTCCCAGACAGGCACCGCCTTCCCACAGCCCAAGCAGGGTCCTTTCCCAGCCAGCTTGACTGCACAAACCGCCCAGGGCTGCTTCGGGACCACAAACGCTGGGACTCCAGGGCAGGTATCTCCCAAGACTGACACTAAATAAACCCTGGCTCGTACAGCCGAACTCTGTGCCTCTCCACCCGGTGACCCCCATCCCATCTCAAAAGAATGCTGTGGCAATGGATGCCTGTTTCCTCCTCCTCCTCCTCCTCCTCCTCCTCCTCCTCCTCCTCCTCCTCCTCCTCCTCCTCCTCCTCCTCCTCCTCCTCCTCCTCCTCCTCCTCGCGCTGGAGGAGGGGCCCCCACTAAGCTCCAGGCTGAGGGGAGGCGACGGTGCGGGTGACATGTTCCCCATCACTTTGCCCGCTGTGAAAAAAAACAAAAAAAATACTGTGCACTTCTCCTTCCTGAAGGGACAGACCCGGGTTATCGCACACGAATTCAGCCAGCGAGGCATACAAGACGGGGAGCAGTGCTCCCCGAGGCCTACTGTGCGCAGCCGAGCCTACTGTGCGCGCTCCCCGCGGCCTCCGAGGCCCCCCTGGTCCCCGCCGGGCCGGGGTCCCTTAGAAACGCGGAACCAGGGACACACCGGAAGAGCGGGCACTCCCTCGGGCCTGTGCCGAGGACGGCCGAGGCGGGCAGGGGACGGGCGGAAGGGACAGGGAGACATGGAGGGAGGGAGGGAGGAGACTGGGGACGACGACGGCGACGCCGCCGCCGCGGAGCTGAGCCGGCGACACGGGAGGACTCGGGAGGACGGCGAGGGGGTTCGAAGGGCTGAGGCTCTGCCGCCGCCGCCTCCGCGGCGGAGCGAGGGGCTCGGGGAGGGAAGCCGACAGGAACTCGGGAGCAGGAGGAGGAGGAGGAGGAGGAAG